TATCTCTCTATCTCTCTCTTCTTCTCTCTCTCGCTCTCTCTCTCTCTCTCTCTCTCTCTCTCTCACTTCTCACTCTCACTCTCACTCTCTCTGCTCTCTCTCTCTCTCTCTCTTCTCTCTCTCTCTCTCTCTCTCCTCTCTCTTCCTTCTTCACTCTCACTCTCACTCTCACTCTCTCTCTCTCTCTCCCTCTCTCTCTCTCTCTCTCTCTCTCTCTTCTCTCTCTCTCTCTCTCTCTCTCTCACTCTCTCTCTCTCTTCTCTCTTCTCTCTCACTCCTCCATCTCCTCTCTCTCTCTTCCTCTCTCTCTCTCTCTCTCTCTCTCTCCTCTCTCTCTCTCTCCTCTCTCTCTCTCTCTACGTCACATCTCACTCTCTCTCTCCTCTCTCTCTCTCTCTCTCTCTCTCTCTCTCTCGTCTACATGACCAGATTTCTCATTTCTCCTGCCGCAGCGGAGAGAGATCCGGCGGATCAATATGGCAAATGTAGCATATATACAGCCGTGTCATTCATCTGTGAGAGAGAAAGAGAGAGAAGACAGAGGGAGCGAGGATGCACAGACAGGGAGGAGGCAAAGAGAGGAGACGGGAAAGGGAGAAGACGGGGAGGTAGAAGACGGTGCAGGGAGGAGACGGATGAGGTAGACGACAAATGTAGCATATACAGCCGTGTCATTCATCTGTGAGAGAGAGGGAGAAGACAGAGGGAGGTTTTCTATTTAATCTACTAATCTGTATCAAATGCCCCCGTGAACGTCGAGCGGCGGCCGCAGCACGTAGGAATACATTTCTCACATTACTTGCTGAGGAGACAGACGTCTGACACTAGACACGCGAGCGATACACGCACGCACGCACGCACGCACGCACACAAACACACACAATCCGTGCGGGGTCGGGGCACGGGCCACGGTCAAGTTTCTCTTACAAAGTATCATTCATTCTATCAGCGATGGCGGTTGTCTCTCTACAGCATTAGACGATCAATTAATCTCCCCCTACCATCACCCTCGCGTAGACGTTTCCCCCCATCCCGACGTCCCTCCCTCCCACCCTCCACGTTTCACGCCCACCACACTTAACAAATTACCCGCTATTTCAACCCTCACCTATCTCCTCCTCCTCCTCCCCATCCCCTCCCTCTCTCACACTGAACGTGAAGTTGAAGCCCTTCCAGATGCGAGCATCCCCATCCCCAGCGAGCGTGCAGCATCCGCGTCTCGAATTGCATCGTCGTCATCGCGGCGACGGAGCGAGGGCAGCACGCGCGCGTCTCGCATAGACAATGCGCGGAGGCGGCGGTCCCCCGCTGGACGGACTTCGCCGCGGATGCTGCGACGACGACAACGACGTAGCCGTCGTCGCGGCGACACGGAGCACGGCTGCTCCGCAAAGCTTCTGCTGCTCCGCCTCGGGATTTTCGACCACAGAGGGCGGACGCCTCCCGTCGCCTCCTTTCTTCCTTCCCGCTCACTGCTGCCACAGTGGGGGAAGACGCGCGCGGCAAGAGGGAAACGCCCGTCCGTCGGGAGGCAGAGATGCAACTGCGTACAACAGTGGTTCCTAACCTTTTTTGAGTCATGGACCTCTATGAGAATCTGGTGAAAGCTACGGACCCCTCCAACAGAAAAAATGCACATGTAAGGTGATTTCGGACTAAGAATGACTTAAGGTACGGACCCCCTGAAGCCCATCCACGCACCCCAAAGTGGTCCACAGACCACAGGTTAAGAACAGGACCACCTGAAGCGAAGCCACGCACCCTAAAGGGGTCCATGGACCACAGGTTAAGAATAGGACCCCCTAAAGCACATCCACGCACCCCAAAGTGGTCCACAGACTGGCATATAGAAGATCGTGAGTACTTACCATTCCCATTCCAAGGCCATTTGGGTGCGGGTAGGGTGCGACAACGTAGAACCCAGGCCCCTCGTGAGGACTGATGTCTGGCGGCTTGCCTGCAATGAACAAACACACGGCGGCTGTGTAAGCGAACAATGAACAACGAACAACACGAACAAACACGCGGCGGTGTGAGAGACAACCCCCCCCCCACTCTCTACCCGCAGGGTGAGGGTGCAGCAGTGGGGAACACACACGCACAGGTACCAGAGGAAAACCTTCTCCTATCTTCCCATCCCCCCACTTCCAACCCCACGCCACGCTCTGGGGCGCGGCAGCGGTGGCGGCGACGGCGGCGCGGCAGCAGAACGCCGCGTCTCGCTCGCAGCATCGTGAGACAGATAAGCAGACCGCTGGCTTCCCCCCTCCCCCTCCTCCTCCTCATCCTCCGCGCGCGCGACGCGGCATTGATCGCCGCGGTGACGGATATTGACATCTGTCAGAGCCGGGCTCCCAGCGATGACACCCCCTGGCCTCACCCCTCACACACAGCGCACGCACGCACGCACACACGCACGCACGCACATATATATATGCACACACACACAGCGCACGCACGCACGCTCTGGCCTCAGCTACAGGGGAGAGGGGATGGACGTAATGGGGGAGGAGAAGGGGTGGGTGTGTGGGGAGAGACACGGAGTGGGGGGAAAGGTGGTCGTATGGGGGACACGGAGGGGGAAGGGGAGGATACGTGGGAGTGTATATATATGCTTCAAGGAATGTACGTGCAGGATGAATGCAGAGAGAGAGAACACTACATGCTCGGTGAAAAAGGACCCAGAGAGTGGAGAAATGAGCGTACCGAGGGGATGCTGGGACGGTGAAGACGTGCGGGGGTGAGAGAGAGAAAAGACCACGGAGGAGTGGAAGGAGTGAACATACAGGGGGGAGGATGCTGGGACGGGTGCAGATAGGAGAAGCGCGGAGGGAGGAGGCAGGGGATAACAGGAGATGTGGGTGGCTGCATCTAGCCATGGGAAGGCGTCCCTCCGCCTGCCTGCCTATCAACCAGCTTCCCTACACATCCCTGCACGCAGCAGCAGCAGCCGCGACGGCAAAACCCGGAAGGTCGTGGCTTCCTATGCGGAAGATGCTGCGACCGCAACGGGTCGTCGCCGTGGCGACCGGGGCGAGATGCGAGCGCTCATCGCCGTCTTCAGTTATTCCATTTGATGCGCGCGCGTGGACGCTCCCGGTGCGACTCTGCCTCAGCCTCCGCCGCCACCGCCGCCACCGCCGCCACCGCCGCCACCGCCGCCACCGCCGCCACCGCTAGAAAGAAAGAGAGAGGGGGGCAACAAAACGCACGCACGCAGCAACAGCATCGTCGTCGTCATCGTCATCGTCGCCGTGTTGTTTACTGCCCCGTCATAAACGATCATCATCACCATCATCACCATCACCGCCGCCGCCGACGCCGCCGCATGCAGACGCCGCCCGAACACGGCTGCTGATTGGTCGAGAGGGATCGTCTGTGTCAGCAGCCGTACACGCACGCGGCCACTAATAGAGTGTAGTAGCCGCGATGCTATTAGCCGACAGATCTCTGACTTTACTACTCTGTAATCAAACGCTAAGCCTCGGTGATTTAGCGACAGGCAGCGCGGCTCCACGCTGATATGTGATAACGGAGAGAGACAGAGAGAGCGGAGAGAAGCATGCAGTACGGGGAGACGAACAAAGCGATGCAGAGTGACGGACGGACGGACGAACGGACGGACGGACGGAGGGACGGACGGACGGGGGTACGGACGGACGGACGGAGGGACGGACGGACGGAGGGACGGACGGAGGCAGCCGACCAGCAGCCTATACTACCTATACTCCCTATCATCTCCTACCCTTCGCCTACCACCCTACCAGCTTTCACTCTACCATGCTACACTCCCTACCACACTACCCTCTGCCATCTCTTCCCCTTAGCCTACCAGTACCACCCTAAACTCCCTATCCTAACCCTCACCCTACACGCTACCTATACAATACAAGTACCCCTACATATACAATTAGGAATATCATCCTTGCCACTCACTCTACCATACCCTGTCACCCACTCTACCATCCCCTGTCACCCACTCTACCATCCCCTGCCACCCACTCTACCATCCCCTGTCACCCACTCTACCATTCCCCTGTCACTCACTCTACCATCCCTGCCACCCACTCTTACCATCCCTGTCACCCACGTCTACCATTCCCTGTCCACCACTCTACCATCCCCTGTCACACACTCTACCAATCCCCTGTCACCCACTTACCCATCCCCTTCACCCACTCTAACCATTCCCCTGTACCACTCTACCATCCCTGTCACCACTCTTACATCCCTGTCACTCACTTCTACCAATCCCCCTGCCAACCCCACTCTACCATTCCCCTGTCACCCACCTCTCCATCCCCTGTCACCCACTTCTACCAATCCCCTGTCACCCACTCTACCATCCCCTGTCACCACTTACCATCCCCTGCTCACCCACTCTTACCATCCCTTCACTCCACTCTACCATCCCCTGTCACCTCACTCTACCATCCTCTGTCACTCACTCTTATTATCCCCTGTCACCACTCTACCATCCCTGTCACCCACTCTACCATACCCTGCTCACACTCTACCATCCCCTGCCCACTCCACTCTACCATACCTGTCACCCATTTCTACCATGCCCGTGTCACCCACTCTACCATCCCCTGCTTCACCACTCTACCATCCCTGTCACACCACTCTACGCCATCACCCTGTCACCCACTCTACATCCGCTGTTCACCCATCTCTACCATCCTCTGCTTCACCCCTCCAATCTACCATCTCCTAGTCACCCACCTCTACAATCCCTGCTACCCACTCTACCATCCCCTCCACCCACTTCTATTCATCCCCTGTCACCCAACTCTGCCATCCCCTGCTCAACCCACTCTACCATCCCCTGTCACCCACTCTACCATCCCCTGTCACCCACTCTACCATTCCCTGTCACCCACTCTACCATCCCCTGCACCCACTCTACCACCCCTGTCACTCACTCTACCATTCCCCTGTCACCCACTCTACCATTACCATTGTCACCCACTTTACCATCTCCTCCGCCACCCACTCTTACCATTCCCCTGTCACCCATCTCTACATCCCCTGACCCACTCTACCAATCCCTTACCCACTTCTACCATACCCTGTCACCCACTCTTACCATCCCTGTCACCCACTCTACCATCCCCTGTCACCCACTCTACCACTCCGTCACACCATCTACATCCGCTGTCACCTACTCTTACCCATCCCCTGTCACCACTCTACAATTCCCCTTGTCACCCACTCTACCATGCCCCTGCACCCACATCTACCATCCCCTGTCACTCACTCTACAATCCCCTGTCACCCACTTCTACCATCCCCTGCACCCACTTCTACCATCCCCTGTCACCCACTCTACCATTCCCCTGTCACCCACTCTTACAATCCCCTGTCACCCACTCTACCATCCCCTGCACCCACTCTACCATCCCTGTCACTCACTCTACAATCCCCTGTCCACCCACTCTACCATCCCCTGTCACCCACTCTACAATCCGCTGTTCAGCCCACTTCTACTCATCCCTGTTCACTCACTCTTACCATCCCCTGCCCACCCACTTCTACCATCCCCTGTCACCCACTCTACATCCCCTGTCACTCCACTCTACATCCCTGCTGTCACCCATCTACCATCCCCTGTCACCCCACTCTACATCCCGTCACTCACTCATACATCCGCTGTCACCCACTCTAACATCCCCTGTCACCACTCTACCAATCCGCTGTCACCCACTTCTACCATCCCCGTCACCCACTACTACCATCCCCTGTTCACCACTTCTACCATCCTGTCACCCACTCTACCATCCCCTGTCACCCACTCTACCATCCCCTGTCACCCACTCTACAATCCCCTGTCACCCACTCTACCATCCCCTGCCACCCACTCTACCATCCCCTGTCACCCACTCTACCATCCCCTGTCACCCCCTGTCACCCACTCTACCATCCCCTGTTACCCACTCTACCATCCCTTGCCACCCTCCCCCAATCTCGATCTAGTTTCCCTCATGCTGAACATAGCATGACTTCCTTGGCAGCAGACGATTGCAGACGATTGCATACAAGTAGCACTAATTAGTATCAATTGCCGCCCGCATCGGGAAAAAATGTTATTAAGCAGCTTTCTGGAAAATTTGAATTTCTTTCACGCAATTCGCAAGAATCGCACTGATTGCTGGGCTGTGTCGAACACGGTTCTGCAATAACATAATGACAGGCCTTTCTTCCTACAACCCCGCCTCCTCTTTCCTCCCACCACCCCCTCCTCTTATATTTATATCTCACTACCCCCTGCCTCTTACCTCCTACCACCCACCTCCCCTAACTTCACACACCCAGCCCCTGCCCATATCTTCACACCAAAATCCCTTACGCGCACCTCACCTCTCTCTCCCCATCCCCTCTCGCCCCTTTCTCTATTTCTTTCTCCTCACACACACCCTTTCTCCCTATCTGTCTCTCTCTCTCGCGCGCGCGCGCTCTCTCTCTCGCTCTTTCGCCTCTCTACTCTCGTCTCTCCTCTCGTCCCTCTCTCTCTCTCTCTCTCCTCTCTCTCTCTCTCTTCTCTCGTCGCTCTCTCCTCGTCCTCTCTCTCTCTCTCCGTCTCATCTCTCTGTCTCTCTCTCTCTCTCGTCTCTCTCTCTCTCCGTCTATCCTCTTCCTCTGGCTCTCCCCTTCCGCCGGGTCGCAGCCGTTCTCTCTCCTTTTTCTCCTCCTGTCTCTCTGATCTATCGTCTATCGCTTATGGCTCTATCTCTATCTCGTATCTCTATGCTCATCTCTACTCTACTCTACTCTTCTTTCTCTATCTCTAACATTCTAGTCTATCTATCTACTATCTATCTATTCTAGTCTACTGATCTAATCTATATCTATCTATCTATCCTATCATCTCCGTCCCCCCCTCGGTCGCCCCGTCTCTCCCTCCCTCTCCATGCTCGCTCGTCTGCGCTCTCTGCTCGTCTCTCTCTATCCGCCTCT